TAATGGAGGAAACACATCTTCTTTTTTCAGTTCTGTGACTCGGAATTTGTGGGGAAATGGGGGGCTTAATTATGGAACAAACTCCACAGGTTCCAGTGCTTACAATGGATCCGGAAGTGGGAGCATTGGAGGAAGTACATTTGGAAACACTGGAGTTAATTGGCGTTCTTCGGCAATTTCAGCTCAAGGTGGGGGAAATAATGTTCCGAACAATAGTGGGAGTCTTGGTTATGGAGCTGGTGATAACAGTTATGGTTTGGGAAGCGGAGGGTATGGAAGAAACAATGGAACAAGTGTGACCCCTACATCCTCATTTGCTGCATCAAATGGTGGTTTTGATGGGGCCTTCGCTGACTTTTACACTAGTAGTTCAGTTTATGGTGATCCCACTTGGCGTTCATCAAATTCCGAGCGAGATGGGCCTGGTCCCTTTGGTTATGGGCTCGGTGGTGCAGCTTCTGATGTTTCAGCTAAAAGTTCTCCTGGTTATGTGGGTGGTTATAGTGTTAATAAGAGACAGCCAAATACAGGTAGTGGTCACTTAATTAATATCTTATGCAACTTCTGTTTTTTTATCTTTTTTTGTGCTCTTCTTTTAGTTCTTTTGTTGTTGAAATACAGGGACCAGGGACCCCCCCTCCCCTCATAATTTGTATGGATGTTCATAAAACACCTCCAAACTTCTGAAATAGAATGGAATTATGGGATCCCAAACCAATCTTTAGCTAAACCTCCCAATTAGTATTGATAATAACAATCTTTAGCTGAAAGAAATACAAAATTTCTAGGAACATGCAAAGTCAAGTAATTTTCAGCAGAAATACTATCTAATTTGTGCAGATCAATTTGGGTCCAGTTTATTTGGTAACGCATAATCTCACTCTTTTCTTGAGCTTGCTTGATTTGGCTATCTCTGCCCAGCATCCACAAGATTTAACTTATTTGAACTGTTGCATCTAAGCCATAATTCATGAAATCTAACTTTTCCCCCTAGCTGATGTTCCACAAAGTGGAGTACTTTATTACTGGATTAAATCTGGTTTAGCATACAATACAAGAGAGGACTTCTGTTCGAGTGTGTAGGATTATTTGGTTATGGTCCATCTTGTTGACTATAACAATTTGAATATGGAAATTTATTGTTAAGCTCATAGTTGTTCTGTATAATTCAGTTGAATTGGGTGACTGTCTAGTTAGGAGTAGATTGAGGTAATCATGATATTACTTATCTTAAAGTTGGACTCATCTCAATTTATGAAGCTCAACTCGTGAACTCCTTTATCCTATTGATTACATTGACTACATCACTTTCTCCTCCTTCTATTGCTGTTGACATGTACACACATTACTTGGGATTTGATTGTTGCTTGAGTTGCCTAGGTGATACTTTACTTGATGTGTCACCCTCTAGCATATTTTCCATGCAATTCTTATAAACTGCCTTATTTTGGATGATAAATGTGTTACCATGCAAATGATATTTTTTCACTAAAGAGGCTTTGGCAGCCAGTTATTTGTGCTGGTCAGAAGTGTGTTGCTTTGGTGTCCTAGGTTTATTACGCAACATAAAAGAAAAAAGCTTGTAATGTTGTTGTTGTATAGGTTGTCATTTTATTTGGATTTTGTTGGTGTTGGAGTAGCTGGCCAGTGGCTTTTGCTACTTAAATAGATATGATTATCAACCTCTTTGTAATTAGGGGGACGATGGTCCCAAATGGGTGTTGAATGTGCACTGTGCAGGGGTGTAGAGAAGATCAACCATGTTTTATATAGTGAGATGGTGTTCATACTTGATAGAGAATTTTGTGATCTCCTCTGTTCATGCTTTTGTTGATGCCAAAGAATCTTCTTCTCCCTTTTGTTTTTGATAGGAAGATTACGCATCTTACATGAATGTCTCTTTCTGTGCCTGATGAACATTATGACTCTTTTGGAGTGTGTAGCTCTCATAGTCTCTATGGGTGTGTGCATTTTGGGTAATAAATGTTTGGTTTTTCTTTCTTTTAAGAAAAATACATAAAATGGTTTTTCTTTTGTGTTATTAATATGTCGCGCTGCTTATCTCTCTATTATGTGATCCCTAGCCCTCAATGGTTGAAATATCTAGTAGATCCTTGTTGCAAGGAGTTCTTGACCTTGTCTTTATAGAGATCCAGCATGTGCCATTCACAAAATAAAGTTGCTTCTTTTCTTCTCTGCTCTAGGATATCTTCGATGTTCATAATTTCAGCTTGAAGGCATGCATTTTTAAATAGAAGCTTTCTTTTTCTATAGTTAAGTATACTCAATGGAGCATTGAAGTTTAGTATAATGTAATTCGGTGCTACGAGTTTCATCTTTGTATTTTTGTTCTTTTAATATGATCAAGGAAGAAAACTGAGGGAAATCTAGAAATCTAAAGGAGTCTAAGAAATAGACTATTGCGTCTACAGATACATATTCAGCTTAGCCTATGGTGAAGTGTGTCTGGGCTCTCTCTCATTCTCTCTTGCCTGTGTGTGTTTCCTCATATACTGACAATATTTTATTTTTTGTGCTTTATATATTCCACCAGATTGCAATGATTTCCTCTGTATCAACCTTTAAATTCTGTCTGTTAGCTTAAGTAATAAGTCACTAATCAGGGGCTGAAATGGAGTGGGAAGGTGTGGTTGGGCTGAAAAGTATGGTTTACTGTTTCATGAATGCATGTTTAAGTGCTGCAATTAGGAGTGTGTATCAAGGTAACAACGGAGAGATGAGTTAGAGGGGCAGAATTTAGTTGATTATTGAAGATATCATTTCGTGAAATTTGTTATACGGTCTTGCCATCGTGTAACAATTGATAACTTAGATTATACTGGTTGCATATTGCTTGTTTGATGGAATCATGACACAGTTCTAAAAGATAAGCATGCTGTTGTCAGTATGCACCTTAAGATCTCAGATGGGATGCCCATTCTAATTTAGTGAAGTTTTGTATTGTTTTAGCATTCATTTGAAATGTTATTGCACTGTCTTAGTCAATATTTCAAAGGCTGTACACAAGAGTTGGCTGATGGCCACAGGCAACACATTTGTAATTCATGTCGAAGTGCCAAGTATTTATATTTTCTTGGTTTGAATTTTTCTGGAAGTCATTGCCATGAATTTACGTGCACCTTTATACAATATAGTATAGATACTTGGATAGATGGTAACTTGTGGAAAATAGATTCTTTTCAAGTATGTGCTTGTGTGCGTGTATATAGAACTTAAAATGTGTTGCTCACTTAATCGTCGATATGTGTGTGTCGATACTTACAAGTTGCTTTTCTCCTACTGTTTTTCAGGAATTGCTACCTAGGATCATCATTTCTGATATCACGACATTGTAGGTGAAGATAATCTGGTGAAGCAGGTGAAATGTGAATTTTGCACACCACCCTCATTTATATATCTCAGTGAAAGAAATTTGGTTAGTAAGAGCTAACTGGGAGTGCCTGTTTTGGAAGAGTTAAAGTTAGAGTTAGAAGTTATAATGGATTTTGTGTTAATGCTTTTGAGTTTTAAGTTACCATTTTAGGTTTTTTTGTTTTGGTCTTTGAGTGAGATGTAAAATCAGATTGCGGGATATAGTCAGAAGTGTATCATGCATCTCCGGTGAGGCGGCGATACCCAAAAGAAAAATGAAAAAAACCAAAAAAACAAAAAGAGATAGACTGATATATATTTTTTTTCCCTTTAGAATTTTATCTGTAAAATCTCTTGGCTAAGTTGTGGGTTCTGGTCAGGGATTGTTTTTTTTTTTTTTGTTTTTGTTTTTTTTTTTTTTATTTTTTAAGTTGTGGGTTCTGGTCAGGGATTGTTTTTTTTTTTTTTTGTTTTTGTTTTTTTCTTTTTCATTCTTTTGTCCCATCATTTGGTTTGTTTTTATTGTATCTGAGATTAATGTTGATTTACTAGTGTGAAACATTTTAAGGGCTACCCATCTAGGGACCCCATGAATAAGTAATCGCATATTCTGATTCTTACTCTTTGGGAATTTTGTTGGCCAAAAATGCCTTTGAGATTCTGAATGCAACCATTTTGATGCAGTCGGGGGGGGCCTGTTCTTGTGGTCCAGGACCAGGACCCTTCCCAAAAACTAACCTACTTTCTGTGAAAGTCTATATATATATGGCCGATGATAAAAAGAAAAATAAAAGAGATAATAATACCTAATTTGTGAGAAACCCTTTCAGAATTTCCCCCCTCTTGATCATTTATTTTTGGTTGGTTTTGTTTATACTCCAAATGTTCTTTTATTTCAATGAAAAAAACGTTGCTCCATGTATCTTCCTTTTATAATCTTTAAACCAAAAAAAAAAAAAAAAAAAAAAAAATTAAAAAACAAAAATAAAAA